CCATACTTGAGGAGGACTTTGATCCGGACCCAGGGCCCCTGCAAGGTCTACTGGGAAACCCTTTCATTTACTATGTGCCCAGAATGCTATGGTAGTCTAATTTAAATTCTTGAACGGCAACCCACTCTGGTACCAAAAGGGGGCCTTAACAATTAGAATAGGGTTTTGGAGCCCATTGGACTAATTTAAAAAATTACACCAGCGAAAACCCCAAACAGAATGCAACGGTTCATACCGGTTCAAGTTGGAATGTGTTGGATCCAAATCTGGCTTCGCCAGCAGATTTTGCGAAGAAGAATTAAGCATTGGGCGACATATTTCTCCGAAAGAAGAGTGGGTGGTGGGACTCAAGCATGTGGGAAGGTTTTTGGGAGGATCCAGGGAGCATCGTTCAGAGGATCTTGCTGCAACACCATGCACGAAAAATATGCACATGTCTCCCGCAACTGCCACATTGTTGCCGCCTTTCCAAAACAGGATACCTGGCCTCTGCTGCAAACGTTCGCGGACGAAGTGCAAAAGAGCTTGGTGTTCGCTTCGGTTGGCTGTCGGACGGGAAGAAAACGAGAACTTTGCCGTGCATGTTTGGCAAGAAAAGTAGGAAGGGATTTGTCGGCTTACAAGGCAAATAAAAAGCCCTCTTAACACGGATCCATTCACGTTTTCTCTGCTGACCGAACGAAGAGCATTGTCCACAGGATTTTGTTGCCGCAGGAACCGCACAAAGAAAACACGCAACTTCTCCACAATTTTCATAACATTACCGTTCTGCAAAACAGGATTCCTTGCCTCCGCTGTAGACATTGGAGGAAGAAGCACAACAGAGGTTGGTATATGGATAGGTTGGCTGTCGCACGGGAAAAAAGTGTGAACTTTGCCGCGCAATTTTGGCGAAAAGAAGCGCGCACAGGGGTGCGTCGGCTTACAACACAAAACAACAATCTTGTTTTACACGGAACCATTCGCGACTTTTTCCGCAAACCGAACCAAAATCCACAAAGGATCTTGCTACCGCAGAAACCACGCACGGAAAAAACACACACAAAATTGCCGTTTTGCAAGATAGGATATGTGACCTCTGCCGTAAACGTTTGTGGAAGAAGCGCAAAACACGTTGGTATACGGATCGGTTGGCTGTCGCACGGGGAAAAAGTGTGAAACTTTGCGGCGCAATTATGACAAAAGAAGAGCAAATGGGTTTGTCGGCTTACAAGGCAAACAAAAAAATTTTCGTTACACGGAACCATTCACGATTTTGTCCGCAGACCGAACGAAGATCCACAGGATCTTGCTGCCGCAGCAACCGCGCACGGCAAAAACATGCAACATTGCCGTTTTTTGCGAGACAGGATATGTGGCCTCTGCTGTAGAGGTCTGTGGAAGAAGCGCAAAACAAGCTGGTATATACAGATCGGTTGGCTGCCACACGGGAAAAGGTAGGAACTTTGCCGCGCAGACTTGGCAAAACAGAAACGCAAAGGGGTTTGTCGGCTGACATCGCAAACACAAATCTTTCTTTACACGGAACCATTCACGACTTTTTCCGCAGACCGAACGAAGATCCACAGGATCTTGCTGCCGCAGCAACCACGCACGGAAAAAACATGCAACATTGCCGTTTTTTGCGAGACAGGATATGTGGCCTCTGCTGTAGACGTCTGTGGAAGAAGCGCAAAACAAAATGGTGTACAGATCGGTTGGCTGCCACACGGGAAAAGGTAGGAATTTTGCCGCGCAAACTTGGCAAAAATAAACGCAAAGGGGTTTGTCGGCTTACATCGCATACACAAATCTTTCTTTACACGGATCCACTCACGAATTTTTCCACGGACCGAACGAAGAATTTCGTCCACAGGATCTTACTTCCGCAAAAACCACGCATGGAGAACACACACACACACACAACTTTCCCGCAACTGAGTTAATCCGACCCTCAACAGCAGCACAACGATATTGGGGTAGGATCGCCGGGCAAGGCAAGGAAACCCAAAAGGGAAGCCCAGCCCGAAGAGGAACACAAGCTGCAAGCGTACCTCTTTTTTCATTACTTGAGCCAGAGTTCATGTCATTGGCACATGAAGCTACACAGTCAAACATGTTACCTATACAAGGACAGGGAACGTCGTATTCGACCAACTAACTGTTACAACATTGCTGCTTTGCAAAACAGGATGCCTGACTTTTGCTGTAGATGGTTACGGATCGGACGGCTGTCGCAAGGGAAAGACGGGTAACTTTGCTGCACAAACAGGGCAAAAAGAAAAGCGATGGAGTCGGCTCACATCGCAAACAAATATTTTCCTTATACGGAACCATTGACAAATTTTTCCGCAAACGGAACGAAGAACGTCGTCCACATGATCTTGCTGCAGCAGAAACCACGCACGGAAAAACACACAACTGTTACAGCATGGCTGCCTTGCAAGACAGGATACCGGATAACTGGCCTCTGCTGTAGACGTTTGTAGCAGACCAGGCGCCCAAAAAGGAAATATTAAGGGAATCCAGCGGGAACTCAAGCCCTCTGCTGCGGCCCGCCCGTCCAACCCAGGAGCCCAGAAACGAAACAGGAAGGAAACCCAATTGGCAGCCCAATCCCTTTGCCGCAGCCCACCCATCCAATCCAGGAGCCCAGAACGGAAACATGAAGGGAGGTAAACGGGATTGCCACGGCCCAAGGAAATATGAAGGGAGTCTAACGGGAGACCAGGTCCAACCCAGCAGCCCAGAAAGGAAATATGAAGGGAGCCCAGGTCCTTTGCCGCAGCCCACCCGTCCAACCAGGAGCCCAGAAAGGAAACATGAAGGGAAGTGAATGGGAGCCCAGGTCCTTCGCCGCGGCCCACCCGTCCAACCCAGAACCCCAGCAAGGAAATATGAAGGGAGCCCAATAAAGCCCAGGTGCCCAGAAAGGAAGCAGGAATGGAAGTGAATGGGAGCCCAAGTCTTTCGCCGCGGCCCACCCGTCCATCCCAGAACCCCAGAAATGAAATATGAAGGGAAATGAATGGGAGCCCAGGTCCTTCGCCGCTCCAACCCAGGAGCCCAGAAAGGAAAAAAAAAGTAGCCCAATAAAGCCCAGGTCCTTTGCCGCGGCCCACCCGTCCAACCCAGGAGCCCAGAAAGGAAACGTGAAGGGAAGTGAATGGGAGCCCAGGTCCTTCGCCGCGGCCCACCCGTCCAACCCAGGAGCCCAGAAAGGAAATATGAAGGGAAGTGAATGGGAGCCCAGGTCTTTCGCCGCGACCCACCCGTCCAACCCAGGAGCCCAGAAAGGAAACAGACCTGCAGGCAAGTTTTCGCTGTGAGGGAAGTGAAGGGGAGCCCAGGTCCTTCGCCGCGTCCCACCCGTCCATTCCAGGAGCCCAGAAAGGAGACATGAAAGGAGCCCAATGGGAGCCCAGCCAGTTTGCCGCGGCCCAGCCATCCAACCCACCGCGGCCCACCTTTTTCTGAGGAGAGAACCCCAAACTGTACCTATTTGGGGAAAAAGGATCCACCAAAGTAGTATTGGTATTTATTTAAACGCCTGTAGTAGGCCACTTCCGGTTTGCACTCGGGGTGATGTCCTCGTTGGATACCTCGGTCGGGTGTCAGCCTCGGCGAAAAGATGGCCATCAGGGAACGGCACCGGGTATGTGGGCTTTAGGGTTTAGGGGCTTATGGTTCAGTGGTTTAGGATTTTGGGTTCAGGACTTGTTTGGAGTTTAGGGCTGATGCTGTTGTAGGTTTGGTTTAGCATATGTGTTATTTGGACCAAGGCATATTATTGCCGTTACAACTATGCTTGCGCAGGTGGGCGCCGACACCTCAGCAGGAACCCTACGCTGGATCGGGCACGTCACTGTACCTCTCCCAACCACGATTTTCAAAACGAGGTGTCTCAGAGCCATCGAAACGAAGCTCAGCCTTTCTAGAGCTTGGCCTTTCATTTTTCCTAGGTAAGCGCCATAGTGTGGTTTGCAAGCAGCAGGAATCATTGCGATACCTGTTTGGCCGTGGTCAGGATGCTTCAAGCTGCAGGCTTGCGAAGTCAAACGGGTTTTAAGGTTTAGGGTATTAACTTGAGACCTAAGCAAGAAACCGAATCGTCCCGGGCCACAAGACTCAACACGAAAGCCGGCAATTACGGGAGCTAGTACATCCACCTAAACCCCTACACCCTAAACCCCTTTAGGAAGCAAGGCTGCAACGAACGACTGGGCATGAATCCACAAACGTTGCCGGATGATCCGCAGCTAAGCCTCCTGCAAAGCAGCACCCTAAACCCTAAATCCTAAGCAATAAACGCTAAACCCCAAAGCCCCTACACCCCTGAACCCTAAACTCTGATCTACTGTAGGGCTACACTGATACACAATACGCATCTTGTAATTCCCCCAATAATAACAATAATAATCACTACAATGGTAGGAAAATACTGATAACGCATAGTTCATAGAAGTAGTAGTAACAATGATAGTGATAATAATGAAAGGCATAATCCCGATAAGATGTGGGTGGTTGTCAAAATTATGGCCCCTTCTTGGGTACCCTAAATAGTAGGTGCCGTATTATCATAAGGAGGAAAACAGGGACCCTAATTTGACAACCACCCATATGAAGAATCGGCCATGCGTGGACGTGGCACCTGTGCTCGAGGACGGAACGAGAAGTCGATGGGCAAGTGCTCGACACAGCTGCTGGGGCCTCCCACAACGTTTGGCAGTTATAATAACTTGATAATAACCACAATGATAGTAGTCATAGTTATAATGATAATCATGATAGGTTTTTTGGTAATATAAGTGACATGTTGATGATAGTGAAACAATAAGAATAAGAGTGGAGCTTTGGATAGTTTAGGCATGCCACGGTCCGCACAGCTGCCAGAAGAGAAGGGCGAGGAGGTCGCAAGACTCTTTGGGACAAGTGGCGCATGAACTTCTACCGCTCTGCAGGAGGCTTGCTGCAGAGTTCTGGCTTTGCCAGAACACTTAGAGGAACAAGCCCTGGAGCATTCAGGTAAAGCTCACATGGCTGGAAAAAGCTGCGAGTGCAGCTAGTGCCACCAAATTCTTGCAACCGGGCAAGGCCGCGGAGGCCTCCCTGGTATCGCCCGTGGACGTAGTACCTAGCACATGGCTCGGGATAGTATTAGAAAATGTAAAGTTGAATTTTTTGGGGGGTTAGGTACCCATAAACATGTTAAAAGTTACCCAACTATGCCCAAGGTACTGCTGACCGGTGAGTTCATGGACGTGGTACTGCCGTCTATCGACGTGGTACTGCTGTCAACCGAGGTGGTACTGCTGCCACTCCCCGTTGACGGTGTAGTGCGGGCAGTTGACGTGGTTGAGCTGGCATCGTTGGGTGACCTTGGCGGGTCACAGTTCTGGTAGCAAAACTCATAGCGGACCAACCAGTTGCCAGGATCTCCTGTGTAAGCAACGGCTTTGCCGTTGATAACGACAATGTCGTCGGCAAAGGGCAACTGGACTGGGAACTGCAGCGCGGTCTCGGCATGTTCCAGCTCGCCTGCTGAATTGACAACCATGAACTCATTCCTTTTGTAAAGCTCGCCGGACCACACCTCCCAAAAGAGAAGAATTGATCCGTTGAGCTCTGCGGTCTTCACACGACTCAAGGACTCGTCCATATCGGTCCTGGCGGTGAGAAAACTAACTCCACGGTTCGTCAGGTTCTGCCACTGACCATCTTCATCGAAAAAGCCGCCGTTCTCGACGTCTCCGGGCGAGAGCACTTCACGACTGGTCAAATCCCGTGGTATCCTCACGAAGCCCAGATTTCCTTTGCTGACACTTGGGAGCCAAGGTTTGGGATCTGACAACCTAATGTAGGAACCTGATTAAGAAACCCTGGCCTATAACCCCAAAATAGCAGGGTTCATATAAGGAACCCGAATAAAGGCTCAAGATTTCTTTGTCAGGTTCCTACATTATAATAGTACCCTTATAGACCCCTTATAGCAACCCTAAGAAAGGCCCTAGGTTTCTTAACCAGGTTCCTACACTACTTAATTTTCAGCTCAACTCGGCGCAGACCCAGACGTGCAGTTCGCGGCTACACGGCACAAAGCAGCAAGGCAGCATGCTTACAAAATAGGGTTCATAGGGATAAAATGTGTGGCTCAGGGTTTGTATAGGGTTTAGGGCTTAAAACTTGTGGTTTAGGGTTTTTTTGGTAGGGCTTAGGGTTCACGGAAAGGTTAGGGCTTATAAGTGCAATCACAGAGTTTTGTCACTAAGCTCGAGACCGAAACCCTCCTAAAAACCTTTTGGGTCTGCCGAGCATCGAGGAGCGTTCAGTAGACCCCCCACTGCCTGGGTTCTTGTTAAGGGATCTCATTTAAGCTACCATAATAGGGATCTACAAGGGTTCCTTTAAGGGGATCTATAAGGGTTCCTTTGAGGGTTTAGGGATCTTCTTTAAGGTACCATAAGAAGGAAACCAGATTATTTACCATAGATCCCTGTTATGGTAACTTAAATTAATTTCTTTAACAAGGGCCCAGGTGCGGTGTTGTCAAGCGGCGGACTTTCCCCCGCGAAGAAAACGAGCACTGTGTCGTTCAACTCATGCAACCCTGGGTGGGCCAACTCGGTGTAGACCGCGTTGTCGTTCCTATACTGAACTCAGACCCTTAGCAAAAATTACATAATGTTAGCTGTTTCTTAGGGATTAAAGGAACCAAAGATTAAAAAGCATTTCTATGGTGCCCCTAAGGTTCTTGCTCCACTGGTAGTAGGTCTCCGTTGCTGTGGAGATCTCTTGATAGACCGGCAAAACCTAGTTCATGGTTGGGATCGTATGAAAAATGTACATGTATATTCCTTATTGGGTTTAAGTACCCATAAACATGTAAAGTGTTACCCAACCATGACCAAGACGCCTGGCCTTTGGGATTTGTGGCAGTCGTTCTGTGCACAGTCTTGGGGTAGTAGATCACCCGGCCTCGATAGTGAGAATAGGGTCTCGGGGCACATTGTAACTATGTTTGCAAACCTGGGGATACTCGGAGACCTCATTAAAACTCAGCACGGAGCACATTATACTAGGTATATTTACAAATCTGTGGATTCATTAGGGACTCAGACTACCCGGCCTCGCTTATCGTCTGAGCTGGCCCGATACTCCGAGATCATGATCCCCCGCGGAAAGGCGTCGCCCAGGATCATGCCCAGGTAGTAGTCGTCCTTTCGGGGACTCGGATGGAGGGTTGAGGGTGGAGGGTTTAAGGTTTGGGTTTGAAGGTTTAGGGTTCCAGGGGTTCTAGGGTTTAGGGCTGAGGATTTTTGGTTATGGGCTTCAGGGCTTGGGTTTAGAGCTTTAGCAACTTTAGAGCCGTCCTTCTCCGAGAGTTTCAGGGAGTTGGCCCAGGAGTGGCTACCTGCACTGACTGTCCGGAGTTTCCGCAACGTCGTCGCGTTGAAGATGACGTTGGTGGCTCCTTGGGGATCTAAGGCTTCGGGTCTAGGGTGGCTCCTTTGTGGCTCTACTTAGAGGATCATGGGACTTAGTAAGTAAGGTTATAAGTAGGTTATAATTAGGATAACCCCACTTAGGGGACTTATAACCCCCATTATAACCTACTTACTAAGTCCCATGATCCTCTAAGTAGGGTTCGGGGTTTAGCGTCAAGGCTCCTTGGTGGTTCTAAGGTTATTGGGGGTGGCTCCTTGGTGGTTCACTCCGTCACCAAAGTCGACCCACTTCATCGCGAGCGTTAGGGAGATGGTGTCCGAAGCGGCAAGCCAGGCCATGGAAGATCCGGAGTCGAAGAAGGACCAGAGGTTGAGCTCCTGGGCTCTTCTTAAAGAATCTGAAACTATGCTACCATAATGGGGATTTCGAAGGATTCCTTTAAGGGATCTAGAAACGCTCCTTTGAGGGTTTAGGGTTTAAGGTGTAAGTTACCATAATAGGCATCTTTGGTTTTCTTATGGTCTCCTGATCATGGTGACTTACCCCTAAACAAGAACCCAGGCTCATCGACGGGAAGGGCTACTCTCTGCAGCTCGTTGCCGGCCGCATCGAATTTCACAAGCTCTCCCGGCGTGTTCGCAGTCATATCGCTGGGTTGGCTGCTGTCGCCCAACAAGATGACTACGGTTCCACGGCCATCACCAACTGCGCCGACAAGAAGCCCAGTTGCTGACAGCACAGTCAGCGAAACGGTCTGCGACGTCAGCAAATCCACCGAGAGCCAGGTCAACTTGACGGTACCGCTGTCCATGTCCTGCCAGACGATGCCCTCACGTCCATCTGCATCTCGGACGGGCGTGAAGTGCTTGTAGTCCCCGTAGACCGTCTTAGAGGAATCAAGGCCATGGGCCCAGTGCCTCTGAGGCAGGAACGGCTGCCCCGGAACCGCGAACCTGCGGCCGGTAAAGCTGAAGCCGCCATCGACGGCCCCGTCGAGCCACGCGGCCTCCACTCCCACGGACTCCGTTGGCCAAATGCTCAAGTGGGCGCTGCTGGGCTGGAGGATGAGGACCAAGGGGCCTCTCAAGTCGTCAAGCCGCGTCCCCAGGTCGTCCACCGTAATGGAGGTCTGGCTGAAGTTGCCGGCCTGAACGTCCACAGTGACCAACGGGTGGAACCCACTTGCTTGAAGAGCCCAAACGGTGGTGCTCTGGGTGACGTTCTGCCTGATGTAGAGGTTGATGCGACTTGCGACGAAACCTTTCGCGGTCTGGTTGGGCGGCGAGACACGGAAAGCGTCGTAAACGAGGCCATCGGAGCCGGTGACTCGACCGCGCTCCAGCGCGTAGTCGCGGTTCGTGTAGTCGTCCCAGTTCCAGCACGTGTCACTTTGCCCGGTCATGGTAACGAGGGCAATGTCACCGAACGTGTCGGCCTCTGGTAGATCCCCTCCGGATCCGACATCGCACTCGGTGAGGTCGTTCCCGGACATCACCCTCCAAGTTGGTGCCGGTGGCAACCTCTCTGCTGGCAGCACGACCCAGACCTCCGCTGCAGTGAGACCCTGCACCTTCTTGCCTGTTGGGACGAAGCCTTCCGTGTCGCCAGCCTGCAGCCCATTTCTATGTTGCTCCGCTCTTCTATCTACCCTATACTCTACACCCGATTCTATCTACCCCTATACCTAAATTCTATTATTCCTAAACTATCGCCTGCCTGCACCGTGATCCGCGGAATCAGCAACTCCTCCTCCAAGCGATAGAGCCGGTGCTTCGAGGCATCACCTGAAGGCATCAAGGCTTCAGGTTGAGCATAAAGCCTTAAGCCTTAAGCTTCACATGGTTTAGGATTTAGGCGGATGATTGAGGGTATAAGGTTTAGGCCTGGAGGGCCCTAGCTAGGGCTTTGGGTATCGGTATAAGGATGTATAAGGTTTAGGCCTTGAGGGCCCTAGGGGCTTTGCAGTTGGAACTTCTTCGCCTGGCAGCAGCACATACATCTCCTGGTGGCTTGCGGCAAACTCCGAGGCCAAGGCTTGCGGTGGCTGGATCTCAAAGGCATCGAAGCTCTCGCCGCCGGTTCGAACGACTCCCAGAGTAACTGGGTAGTCCCCGTGGAAGTATCTCTCATCACGCGTGGTCCAACAGCCATGCCCCCGATCGGTGTTCACAAGCGCGACACGGGAGGCATTCGCACCGTTGAAGTCCAGAGGAGTATCACACTCTGACACTATGGGGCCACCCCGTGGGTTCAGCACCACGGGTGCCGACGTCGACTCGAAGGATGCCTGGGCCTGATTGGCAGGGTACGGCTCAAAAGTGTAAGTGTGCAATCGGCTCAGTGAAGCCTGGCACAGCCGGAGCACGCAAGCCACATTGACAAAAAGTGCCGTGCGGTACATGGCCTGTGGCTGCCAAGCAGTAATCGGCAAAGAGATTATGAAAATCTGGGCGTGGCCCAACCTTAAGCCAGAGCTGCAGGCACTGTTTTGCACATCACGGTGGCACAAGTATGCACTCACTGCGACAAATGCGAAGGCAGCAAGATTTCTGTTCAAACGGCACCTTCAAAGTCGGACGATATAGGGATCGACAGACCTGGGCCGCAGCAGTTCCCTCTGCCAATCAAAAAGCCTCAATCGGAGTGTGACTCGGTGAACTCCCAAGCGAATTTCATCTGAACTTGCTCACCGGGCTTGGCGTGACAAGAGCTTGCCCACCCCCCTCGCCTTGCCACGAAGGCGCTGTTTGAGTACTGAGTACTAATTGCCGCAGCGTCCTGGAGAGTCCGGAGCACAAAGCTCGAGCAATGGACATCAGAACGACTGGAAGTCGGTCGCAAGGCTTGCTAAGTAGGCCGTGAGCCGTCAAATCTCTCGAGTACTTGCCTTGGAATATGCATAAACCAAGAGCCATGATCGCCAAGTGCCACACCAGCCTATGACACTTTGCGAAGTACAAACTTTGCGGATAGCTGTTCAAGTCGACGCCTGCTCCTCTCGGAAGTAGAGCTGGTGCTGACCCCACAAAGCCCAGGAAAACGCTAAAGAAAGACAGCTCACGCACGCCACCTTCTGCACGTCGTGCTCGCTAGCTGTGACCTCTGAAAAGCCACGCTTTTGTGTGCAGCTCTTCAGGTCCTACTTAGAGGATCATGGCACTTAGTAAGTAGGTTATAATGGGGGTTATAAGTCCCCTAAGTGGGGTTATCCTAATTATAACCTACTTATAACCTTACTTACTAAGTCCCATGAGCCTTCAAGTACCCTTGCCGCCGTGCTTTTGTTCTGCGAAGCTGAAGAGATGCTCCTGGATTCTCGGCAGCATGTGGATCCATGTGCGAAAAGACGTCTACATCAGCTTAGCATGGCTCGTCGGTGCTGTGCTCTAGCTAGTACCAGCCATCCAGCACTCCCCAAAACCCACACCTCGCCCCTTGGAATTCAGCCCTCTCAGGGCCGGGCCTTCACATGGCTGGAACCTGCGGCGCGCGTTGGGGAGGATGCCGCTGAGGGTCGATGTTTCGACTCTCAAAGTCGTGGACTCTTGGAAATAATAGTAATTCCTAATATAGAAACCCTACATTCTACTATATGGGAGTTTCCGAAAATAGGGGAAAGAATCTCCCCGTCTCGCCCTGTTCTGCAAAGCTTGGGACGACTGGCCTCCCCCAAAAGCAGTCGGAAAGGTACGGGTCTCTCAAACCCTGAAATATCGCCATACTACATCTTTGCAAAGACTCCTCAAATAAAGGGAGCCTCAACTAAACAGAACGACTTAAATTGAAAGAAATCTGCTTAAGGCCCGGACCGCCGGCGTGCGCAGCCACATCGATGACGCTGACGTGCCTTTCGGGCTTTTTTGGTCTAGGGTTCAGGGTTCACGGTTAGGGTTTAGGGAGGGTCAAATATTTAGGGTTTAGGGTTTAGGGGTCTAGGGTTTAGGGTTGACATATATAAGGGTGAGGGTTCGCTTTCGGACCTTCAGGTATCGAGTCTTTGGATGCTCTCGGGCGACTGGCCCTCTGTCTCCGTGTGCCTGCTATCCATGGTGGAGTCTGCAGAGGCACGTGCAGATTTGAGTCGCAGGTTCACGCAGTGAAGTGCCATTGCGCCTGGACATGAACTAGAATGCGTTCCGGAATTCTAGTAGAGCTATATTTTTCCATATGCTATACGATGATATACCCCGAACTGTTCAGGCCTTTAGAGTAATACAGGGGCCTTCCTCAAGAAGCTCAGAATCTCTCGCCGGCTACGGCCATCCACTGGAGAGCCGTCGATCTCGCTGAGGGTGTCGCCGGGCTTGATCGGTCTTGGGAAATGCTCCTGAACATGCGACTTCACCTTCCGCACGGTTGGCGGCGAGGTCCAGGCAAGCTGAATTCCACCAATCCAGTTGCTGCCTTTGCGGGAATGCTCATCCTCTTCCGGCCCATCCCTTGCGAATGGATGCAGGGAAGCCATCGCCCAATCCCAGCAACTTGTCGAAAAGCATCTCGCCCACATCCTCGGAATCCGACCCCGAAGCGGACTTCTCCGACTCCGAGGAGTGCTCGATGCCGAAGAGCTGCTTCTCCAACCGCCGAATCTTTTCATCAGCTTGCGCACGTTCGGCTCTTGCGAGCTCCAGCTGAGCAAGGAGCACGGCTTTCTCCAGCTTCTGGGCCTTGGGCACCTCCTTTGCCTTCTTTCCCGCTTTAGCATGACGCGGCATGGCAAATCGGAAAAGCTACCTGAGGTGTGCGAGATTTCTGCAGCTAACTTTCAACCTCTGTGCCAGAACCTGCATCGGAAAGTGAAAGCTCTTGGACGGACACCACTCTGCATGCACTTCCAAGCGAGCTTCAGTGCTGCAAGCCTGCCTTGGGGCTCGAAGACACGGACGCCCATATGGCAAAGAGCGCTGAGCTCCACTTATCGCACAGAAGTGCTGAGGTGAGGAATTCGCGGGCTTTTGCCTTCGTATACCTTCGCAGTTTCGGATAGTGGCTCAGGGGTGCAGCTTAGGTATTGTAGGTTGAAGACAAACTTGGTGCTCGCGTCACACAATCCAACCTTGCAGCTCTTGAAAGTAATTGGTGTTTCCGGCCTTGCTTCTTTGCTTGTGCTCAGCTCGTTGAAAGAGCAGCCGAAGGCTGCAGAAGTGTAGTTCGTTCGGCAACTTCAGATGCACCACCACGCTTGTCGGGGAAAGCTGAGACGGAAAGATCTGACGTCCCTCTTGACTGCAACCTTAGACATGTTCGATCAACCTCCCCACACACACACACACATAAAATCCTTCACACAAAAGCACGATCAAACCCTCTCTGACTTGATGTGACAGTGCCAGCTTTCACGCGCCGCCAAGCATTACGCGAGAAACCGCGCGTCCCAGAGCTGCAGTGCAAGACTCCACGTTATGGGGCTTTGGCTCACTCCGGAGCTTTGGGTTTGTGGCTGTTGGCATGTCTATCCCAGAATCTTACCCTAAAGCTAGAACCGTAAGCCAAATCTGTCCCGTCCTGCCAGAGGGCTCTCTGCGCCCGAAGCTTGTAACAAGTCTCAGGCAGATCTCGGGATCATTCAGAATCTCCGACAAGACTGGGTTCTTCTTGAGGAGGCTAGTTGAGGTAGCCATAGAGGCCATCTCAGTTGTTCGAAACTTTGCTTGCGGTAACTTCTCTGATGCTGCTTCATCAGAACCCAGTTGACACAACAAATTCCTTGCATGCGCCGGCGGCATTGGCACCGGCTACAGGACTCTCGGGGGCTGCTCGTGTCTATTAAGAGCGTGTGGATGTCAGGTGTCAGGATTACGCAACTTGAACGGCAACCCTTTTTGTCCTGTGGAAGCTCAATTTCCGCACGCCCGCCGAGAAATACACGCGATAAACCGCACACCCTGGAGCTGCGGATAGCTGCGGTGCAGGACTCCTCATTATGGGGTTTTGGCTCACTCTGGCCTGTCACATCTACTCATGTAACCTATACTGTAGTCCTGTAGTCATAGTCCATAACAGCGTCCTGCCGGAGGGCTCTCTGGGCCCAATGTGTGGGTGAGTAACTGGCAGGAAGATCTCGGGATCTCCCGGGTAAGCTGGGTTCCTTTGAAGCAAGCTGGTTAAAGGAACCGCAATCCGGAGAGCACATAAGTTGCTCGTGCTTCCGGTAGCTTCGCTTGCACTGCTTCATCAGAACCCAGCTGAAACGACAAAGTCCTTGCATGCCGGCGGCATTGGCACCGGCTACAGGACTCTCGGGGGCTGCTCCTGGAAATCGAGGATGCGTGGTACGAGTATGTCAAGATTTCAAAACTGCAACTGCTCCTTCCTACGTGAAGCTGAAGCAGGCCCCCGAGATCTAGTCTGGGGGAGTGAGGTGCTAGGATCTGCAGCTTGAGTCGTCGGCCAGACTGTGATTTGTCGCCGTTTCCTAATTCGCACTCGTCATCGGCTGCTTCTTGCGGATGTATACGTATGCTTTAAGAACACGCTCCACGGCCTACGCCTACGGGGTGGCGTCACGCTAGCTGGCTTGCGCCTCAAGACTGCCAGAGCCTCAAGACTGCGTGCAACTGCATGCAACAAGCATATGTTGGTGTAACTGTTCGTTGCACCACCATCGAACAGTCTTCGTTCGACATGCAAGAGCGGGCCATGTCGAGCATAGCTCGGCTCAGGCTTGTGCCGTTGCTTCCTGCTCTTGTTTCTTATGTACGTCAAGATACACAGGCAACATGACATGAGAGCACATGTCGTCACCACCGCTACGATGCCATGCGGAAGTTGCAGCTCGAGACTGTTGTCTTGGTGAAACCTTCGTGCAGTAATTACGACCATCTCAGAAACACTGCTCTTCTGAAGAGCTCCTTGGTGTACACATGTAGCATCATAAGTAACCACCACGACCACCACCACCACCACCAACACCACCACGACAACCACAACCACAACAACAGCAACACTAACAGTAATCATCATCATATGTAAAGTTGGGAATATATATATATATATATATATATATATTTATATTTATATTTATATTCATATTTATATTTATATTTATATTTATACTTATATTGATATTTATATTTACATTTACATTTACATTTACATTTACATGTACATTTACATTTACATTTACATTTACATTTACTTTTACATTTACATTTACACTTATATTTATGTTTATATTTATGTTTATATTTATGTTTATATTTATATTTATATTTATATTTATATTTATATTTATATTTATATTTATACTTATAGTTATATGTATATTTATATTTATATTTATATTTATAACTAGATTTAGATTTAGATTTAGATTTAGATTTGGATTTGGATTTAGATTTAGATTTACATTTACATTTACATTTACTTTTACATTTACATTACATTTACATTTACATTTAT